TTTTTTTTTGCCTTCGATACAATATAAAAAATTATTAAAAAATTTATGATTATTGCAGGATATCTAATAAAAATTAAAAAATATATTTAATTCAATTAAATATAGTTACTCACCAGATAATATACCAACTATAGTTAGGATTATCATATTAAGAGGGCTCCATTATTTTGTTTTTAATATATATGTAACACACAAGAATTAATATAAATCCAACTTAATGAAATTTTTCGTTCCATGTTCTGAAATACATAATTTCGAAATACCATTTCAATTTTATTATTAGATAAGGAACTTATGTTTTATAAAATCGCAATGTTTTATATAGATATCGACAATTTATTCTTCTATGCACAAAGCAATGAATCATATAAATGTTTCACTACGACAAAAAATGGAGACCAATACTAGAAGGTGTAGTATCAGTCATTAATTTTTCATATCCTACACATAGATTCACTCGTCCACTTAGTTCGTACAAATTGTTATATTGTTAGGAACTGTTGCATTGAATTAAATCATTATAAGTTAAGTTGTTCTTGCAATTTTCTTATTAAGAAAGAAAAAAGAAGATAGAAGAAACCATTATTGTCACAGAAGAAACCTTTCCATTTTCCTTTCCAGTTATGAATTAATCAAGTCCATATATCTTTGTAAAAGCGACTAATCACGCGAATCAATTACTTGAAAAGATAAAAGAATTATTTACTGCTACCACTGTATCATAGAAAACACATGCATTTACATTTAGATCGTTTGACCATAACAGTTTTCTTGTGGATGTGAAAACTTATGTATCTGGACTGACTGAGAAGATAGAATAGCATTGAGACAGAAATAGTTGTATTTAATATAATTCTATGATTTATTATCGTTTATTAAACATGGACAAGCAAGTAATAGAGGATCAATATCTGAAAATCAATAAATTTTTTGGACAGCTAGTTGGTGTGTGGCCTTATCAGCAAAGATTCATCAAGTTTTGCATAAGATTCATTACATCTGTTATAGTAGTCCTTACTCTTGCAGCACAGGTATTGTTATTAATAATTTATATTAAATCATTTATATAAGTAATTTTAAAATGAATAATTAAAATTAAATTAGTCCAACATTTTTGTCATTTCGTAAATGAAAACTTTTGATTAATTTTTTAAAAAGAAATTACGATAATTATATGGAAATTCTTGATAACAATTTTGACAAATTATTGTCACTTATGATATTTCACAGCATTAATATCGAATAATAATTTTCTTTTTTTTTTTTTTGCATTAGATATCACGGGTAATAATGTTTTATAATATAGACGTTTTATCAGATCAGTTGCCATATTTGGACATAGGATTCGTCCTCTTATTCAAACAGTACAATTATATTCTAAACGAGGATAAGGTGAAAATTTGCAATTTTATTTATTCTACAATCCTTAGGATAATTATCAGTATCGTTAAAATCGCAGCTAAGAGAACTTTTGAATGAAATTATATCCGATCGATTGATAAAACGATCGAAGGAAGAGTTAGAGATTCTGGAAATGTATTTAAAAAGAGCAAGAGTGCTTTCTACTATTTACGAAGGTAACAAACAAAAAATAGAATTTTTTTAAACTGTAAAAATTGATATCATAAGACTCAATAATGACATATACGATTTTTAATACGAATGTAGGAAAGAGTGAGAAAATTCAATTAAGGAAAAATGTTTATAAAATATAAAACATAATTGTGTTTCATATATATTTAATTATTTCTTTATTTTTGTCATTGATTACTATGTATTAAAAAATTATAATATCTTATATTGAATATACAGTTTATAAAAGATTCTTATTTTTAATTTACTATAAAAAAATTTAATATTTTAATATATCAAAATTTGATGAAAAATAATTTAAGGCGTTGAAGAAAATATTCAAAAAAATAAATATTCTTTTTTTTCATTTCATTCAATTTTTAAATATATAATTTTCTATTTTCTCTTACAAGTTATTAAATATTAATTAATTGAATCGAAATTAAAAATCAACAAAAGACAACAAAATTGTAATTTTAAATATCCTATTCGTTCGCTCTTTCATACATTTCTCATCAATGTCTTTTTATATTTATTCATTTCATTCTATATTTTATTCCCTTTGAGTTCAGTTAGTATATTTTTCTGCGGCTTCATGTTTCTTCTTATACCAAGTATACCACCTATTTTGAACATCATCTCTCCCTTGAACGAGTCACGTGGCCGAGAACTAATCTATCCATCTTATTATTTTGTGGATGAAGAGAAATATTATTATCCCATATTAATGCACATGATAGCAGTTGCGTTAATACTAACTTCAGTATACGTAGCCTGCGACACGTATTTGGTTTACATTGTACATCATGGATGTGCCTTGTTAGCAATAAGCGGGTGAGTACTGTATTCATTCTTTATATCCCTCATATCCCACAATTTGTTTCCTTTTCTTGATTAGATATTGCGCTGAAAGATTACGTTTCGATTCAAGAATTTTTGACTGTAATAAATGAAAATGTAGGTATCGTTTCAAGCACGCTGTGGATGACATTAAGCTTTGCGGAGAAGATTATATTGACTCGTTAAAGGATGAAACTTACACGAAAGTTAGACAGTCCATTAAAGCCCACAAAACAGCCGTTGAGTTAGTATTGTTGCATTAGTAATATAAATATCAACTACGTATCAACTATTTTATATACATATTTTTTATTACGACCTACGTGCAAAGATACGTGGATAAAATAGATGCCTGCCACATACATTACTTCTTACTTATCATAGGAATGATAGTATTAGCTTTCACCGGTACTTTCGTAAAGGCAAGTTTAATACTCATACATATACAGAATCATATATATATATAAATGAAATACTTTTGAAAGATCGATTCTAGAAGTCAAAACAAAAAGTTGAAGTATTCAAAATTGAGGTTTATTAAATTATAAGTAATTCAAAATTCGTGTTGGATAAAGTGAGATGGAAATAGGAAGAGACAATCCGTATAGTATATCAACATTTGTATTTTTGCTTCTACAATCAATTCTCCAAGGATATATTGATATCTTGTATTGATATATATACGAATTTTATGTATAGTATTATTATATAGTATATATATGTATTATATGTATATAGTATATATATAATATTATTGTAATTTAATTACAGTTGTCATCAATGGAAGTGAATGTTAGGTTTTTCACGTTCTGTGTATTCACTGTTGGCCAATTGACACATCTGTTTTTTTTAACGATCATGGGACAATTTTTGATAAACGCCAACGACGAAATTTTCAAAACAATGTGAGATTATTGATGACAATGTATCGATTATCAAATATGAAGAAAATTATTATTTATCGCTTGCATTTAGATAAAATTATTGAAATTCAAGGAACATTTTATTTTTTTTTACTTTTTAATCAAAGAAAATATTATCGTGCAATAGAATTTTGCGATTTATTACACTGTGTTTATGTACATAGATATGAAGCATGTTGGTACAACGGTTCGTCGAGAACGCAATCATTATACGTACTGGTACTTCGAAAATGTTTGAGCCCGCCAAAATTGACAGGAGGAGGATTGGTTGCTTTGAATTTGGATAGCTTTTTACAGGTGAGTTGATATTTTTTTACATAAAATTGGATAAATATTTAAAAAAAAAAACAACTTTCGATTAAGTATAACATTGATTGAATTCTTTCCAGATCTTAAAAGCGTCATTTTCATATTATACTGTATTTAGATCATAATAAATTGATGGAATAATGATAGAAAGTAAAAAATTTAAAGAATTTGTTAATGTTGTGTAAATTAATTGGTAAGACAATGTACTTGTTACGTCATATCCCAATGGGATTATTTATTGTTGTTATGCCTAAAGTATATTCAAATGTTAAACTACAAGATGTGATATTTTCATTTTCTTTTCTTTTTTTACCTTCAATACTGTTTTTGTCTGTATGTGAAAAATAGCAAAAATATGATTATTATTGTTGATCAGTGAATTGGAATAAGAAAATTTTTTTTAAATTTTGGATAAGAATGTCATTGGTATTTAGAAAAAATGATTTCCAAATTTCTTGTTTATTTAAGAAGGAATTTAATATTTATTCATCATCTATTATATCATCATCTAGCACGAAAAATAGTAAATTTATATAAAATATAAAAAACAAGATTAATGAGAAGTTATAATTAACAAATTGAAAATTATATTATGTCTGTTTTTTATGCTTAGTAAAAATTTAAAAATATGTTCAATTTATTTAAATTTAATTATTTATCAATAAATAGTCAATAGTTATAGTTGTCATTTTGAGAGGGTTCTATCATCTGATTGTAAGATACTTTTATGTCTATTTGAATGATGATTGAATGGTTCTTCTTGTAGAATAATTTTAATATAATTTAAATTGTTATTTATGTGATATAAATAAAGAATTTATTTTCACAATATTTTCAATAGATTTTATTTGAATTTTTATTATTAAATAATCTTTTATTCTGTAAATTTTTAAATTTTTGTATTTTAAAAATATATAATACATTTTTTAGAAATAGTTTTTAAAAACAATAATATTAATTCTCTTTGTAATTGATGTATACAATAAAAATTATATATAACATAAGATCTTAAAAGATTTTAGAGATATAAGTAATTAATATCAAAGTAATAAAAGATTCATATATATGAAATTAAGCAATTCAATCTTCAAACAGTTTCATAATAACAAACAAAAAGACAAAAACTCAACATATTGAAATTTAAATTACAATTAATAAATATTAGCAAATCACAAATTATAGAAGTTATCAATACTAAAAAATTTTTTTGTATAATAATAATAAATTTTGCAAGCAAATTTTACAAATATATAAATGATTTGAATATTTTAATGAAAATTTCTTTTACCTAATAGTTGAAAAATTTTTTCGATAGATCTGGCACCTCCTTATAATTCCTTATAATTTAAAAAATTTTTTACATTATATCGATTTGATAGTATCCCGCACAGCGTTAAGAACAGACTGACGAGAAATTTTGTTGTAACAGAAGGCCAGGAAGAGAATATCGATTATTCAATTTGGTTAGTCGTGTTCCTGTGAGTTTTATTCTTGTCGATCAACATATGTTGATCAACTAACTCCTTATCTAATAACCAGTGAGAATGAAAAAAAAAAAACGTAGTAAAAGATGCAGCACACAATGACGAAAGAAATTCTTACGATACTTTCAAATGACAGAATTCCCTATGAAAATATAAATTGGTTAAGATTGACATTGAACGAGGTAACGATTAACTTTATTAATATTTAAAAGAAACCTTCTACATCACTCGTGAACCGTTTCTCCCTATCATTGGAGGGAATCATTCAGCCAATAAAAAAAAAAAAATATAATGATGCCATTATATACAATTTTGTAAAATACCGTATTTCAATATTTAAAGTAAATCAAGGATTGTCATATCCATTTTACTTGACAATAAGCGACAGTAAAAATTTTATATTCGTCTTCTAAAGAATTATTCAATGAAACACTTCACGACACGAAGGAAGACTATAAGAATTATCGAAGATAGAAAATCGTTTTTTTTTTCGAATGGCATTTGTGTTGTTCTGATCATGGACGCGAGAACAGTGGAAAAAAATTTTTTGAAAGTCAACAAAATATTCGGATTAATAACCGGTGTATGGCCGTATCAGAATTATCGGTCGAAAATGGCGGAACGATTCATAAGTGTCACGGTGATGATGAGTGGTTTCGTGACACAGGTATGATAGATGATAATGATTCCGAGTCAATTTTGGTTTTATTATTGTAAAATTAAAATTCTATTTAATTCTGACACATTATTTTTTTTTGAATAATATATTGAAAGTTTTTCACATTGAGGATAATTAAAATACATTTAAAGAAGCATACAAGTTTTATATTTATTATTTAATTAATAATAATTATACATGAAAATATCCTTATGATGAAGAGTTAATAATCATTAATTAAAAAGAGAATCAAGAATTGTGTATCTTAACTTCTTGTGAATTTTTTAATTTTACATCTGTAATTAGTGTACTCAATTTTTCAAAAAAAAATAATTATCTTGTTTCATAATTTATAGTGGGACATAAATAATTATATTTCAAAGTAAATATTTATTATTATTAAGAAATAATTGCAATATTATTTCATTTGTCTATCTTATTAATTAATGAAGTTAATCAATACGATGTTTGAATTTTTTATATATAGGCTCAATTTATATATAGAAAATATTTATAATAATACTTTTATAATTACAGGTTGCATATCTTGTATTGAATCCCACTATGGACAAAGCAGCAACGAACTTGCCTTATTCTATAGCATCATTTGGAACATTTATAAAAATGGGTAATTACTTTTTGGATGAAACTAAGGTGAGGGGATATTTTCGACATTTATTTAACACATTTTGAATGATATTTAGATCACTCTTGCTGGATTCTTTCATAAGTTTTCTTTACAATGATTTTTCGATAGAATATATTAAGATCAGATTAATACTGTTCTATCTCTATCACATTTTGTTCCTATCTTGTTTATTTAATTAATTTAATAAATAAACTCAACTCAATTTATATATTAATTTTTTTGGTCTGTAGAAACGTGTCTCCAATTCGTTTTACGAATATTTTAACATTGCTCTATATAGTATAATATTTTAGTATAATACTTTAATAATTTTGACTTAATATTTTAATTCATGTTCTATCGAAAAATTACAGTTGACAACAATACTGAATCACATATTCGAAGATTGGGCGGCGATAAAAACCAAAGAAGAATACGAGATTATGTACAAATACTCACGAAAAGGATTGCTCATCACGATAAGTTATTTTCGTAAGTATATGAAACATTGACATATGATATATCTGATTTAAAATAAATTCTTTCAGATAATCGATTAGAAAGAACCAAATTTATAAATACAATTAGAATTTAACCATTTTCAAATATGAAATATTTATCACGTAAAAAAATAAATATCTCATAAGAGAAATGCGTTATAAAAAATAAATTAATTAGTTTTTGGATATCCGCAATATAAATATTTTCAGATATGTATCAATTTAAATATACTCGTTCGAATAATCGAAATTCAAGTGAATCAATATTCTACTTTAAATTTAATTTTATCCTGCTCTCGAGAAAGATTCGCACGTAACATATTTAATACAATTTCTCTGAAGCGTGTACATGGTGATTCATAAAATTTACAATCGATACCATATTGTACTTTTATAGTGCACATTGGTGTTACTGAAACATTTATGCTTATATGGCCCATGATACCGCCCATTCTGGACATCATCATGCCATTAAACGTGTCACGGAAACGTATATTCTTGTACCCGGCTTATTTCTGGTTGGACGACGAAAAGTACTACGTGCTTTTACTAGGACACATGATAATCACCATACTCATGATTTGCTTTATATTTTGCGCCTGCGATACGAACTACGTGTACGCTGTGCAGCATGCATGCGGTTTGCTGGCAATCGCCAAGTACGAAAATTCATTAATTATAAAAAAGTATAATGATTGATCATTAACGAATCATTACAAAAATTATTATTATTTTTTTTATTTAGATATCGCTTTAAAAATGTATGCAAAGATTTGAAAGAAGATCATGCCATGCCATTAGAGGAAATCAAGTATAAGAGTATATGCGAATCGATCAAGGCGCATCAACACGCTTTGAAGTTAGTATATTTATGGAATTATGAATATAAATTTTCAAAATATTTTTGATTTGTCTCATTTCGAACGATAATATATATATTTCTCTCGCTTTTAACATGAATTTTGAATCTGTATTAATACTATTTAATATTACTCAAATTAATTTTTCATCTATTGTATATCTATCTTTATTATTTTCAATTGGAGAAACA